GAACTTCAAATTATAAACACTCGCGCGTATAATATGCTCGAATAAAATTTAATATGTCCGAATTATATATGAAAATAATTATTATCCGATTATTCGAGCCCACATATGCGGATTATTCGGATAATCCGGATTTTAATATTAAAAGAATTCAATTCGTATACATTGGCGTACACATTGAATTGAAATTTAATTAAATTCATACATACTGGTTTAACATGTGTATGAATTAAGAAGTTTCGCATTTTTATCATTTTTATGTTTTACTGATATTTACACACGAAAAGAACAGCAGGATCCTTTGCGAAACACTTACTAAATTAAAAGGTAATAACCAAGTAATAACTTAATCTAGCTATATCCTAATGCCCTCTTCTTAGAGATCTTTACATTTTATTCATTCACGATTTTTATTGATTATTAACCATTTCTACTTGGGGTATTTTTTAATTTCGTTTGATTTCCGTAGGATCGAGATGCACATTGCTCAAATTAATCATATTGAAGGAATTGTTTTGTTGAATAAAAATATCTGTTTAAAGAATTGTAAAAGCGACCTCCTTTAATTGTTTTGAGCAGCATATGAGATATTTTCAAAGTACTTCACTGATATATTTTATTTTACAATTGCATCATTTTTTCCAACTATCGATTCTCATTTTTCTCAATCATTTGTATGTTAGCAATGCGTAAATAATGAAGAACTTTGCATTTTTCTCTATATAATATTATTACATATATTTTTATTATCCATACCATATTTGTATGTTAGTATATAGACTATCTTTATTAGTTATCTACTTTCCGCTTATCATCCGGTATCTTACAGACAATTTGAGAATGAAACGCACGTATCGCGGGTAAAGTATCGGTCGTTCAAAGTATTTGTCGTTAGTGGAAGTTTCTCATACGGTTTATTGGGTCACGTCGCAGGTTAACGGCGTACTGACCACGTTGACGTTAAATTTCATTTCCGACGTAAGCTGCGCGACGGCGACGTTCACGTGACGTCACGACAAACATTGTCAGAACACGGTGGAACTGGATTTACCGTTCGATCGACTCGACGTCAAACTTTATTGTAATTAATTACCGCGTGGGCGATCGTCCATTAACCGCGAGCGTATGTACGCGGTGCGCCCTCGTAATTCGCCTCGGTAATGCGGCGCGAGATACGGGAGGAAGGGTGGATTATAACGAGATCATTCTCGATATGACGCAAGACGTACGCGGTGTATCGATCGTGAAGAGAAAAACAATTTGGCGTTGATTCCGACTTTTAATTGAGGAACTGAATACGATACTGAATAGCGTCATTTATAAAATAACGGCACGGAACTTTAATTATCCTCAGAATTTAACGAGTACGTGGCGTAGAAAGGAAAAGATAAGTTCGCGACTCTACACGCGTATAGGAGACACACGCTTCTCTTTCTTAAATTTCCCGAAATTCGATTTCCTGCGACGTTCGGAATCCTTCGATAAATACTATTTACGAGGCGGATAGCGGCGGGTGGTCTCGCGCGACGGAGCCTTTCCTTTCTCGTCCTCCTTTCTTTACAGATCTCGTTACTCTCTTTCCGCGCAATAATGTAAGATCTACAGATTACTTCGTAGAACTCGTGCCCATAAGTTTCGGTTGAATTAAAAGCATCAATACGTAAACTTTAAATTTACCGATAGTTGTAAAAACATTTGGTGATTTTCGGACATTCCGAGGCACGTTTTTTGGCGTTCTCATCGAATGACGTTTCTCGGATTCGGACAAGTTTGAGCGAATGGAAAAAATATATCTGTTTCATCGTTAAATCGAAAATTGTCCGGTCACGTTGTAAAATATAGGCTCGTACGTGTGACGATAAATATCCGAGAGGTGGGAAAACAAACTTAATCTCGCGTATCGAGTGAAGGGAGGCAAAGTTTTTTGCCAAGATTCATATCGCGTTTCTGTTTTAAATGGACGGTTATTACATAGAGCCAGTCATAAATCACGCCTTTGTTTTGCGTGTTCATCAATTTGAGCGAAAATAATTTAAGCATTCCGTAACGTGTTCTTTTTTTTCACGAACGTGCTATAATTACAAAACACGTACAAGAATATAATTATATCTGCGTTAACGCGGCATATAAAGTTTCTCTTCGATACTAAAGATATTAATATAATATTAATAACTAAACATAATATTAATAATAGTTGGTATTAGATAATTGGACTGAATAAATATGTGTTAAGAAGGATTAGAATTAATTACTTCGAAATGTTCGGGATATTTGTGGATACGTGTACATCTGTGCATACCGGTTCGTGTATTTGCCTATTAAACTATCTTCTAATTGAACCATAATATTACTCGTGCTAATGACAACGGATCCAGTAAAGATGGGCGGGCATCCAGCACGCGACAGTCGTTCTCCTGAACGAAGAGGGAATCGATCGTTGCGCGGCCGAAACAGTAGAAACAGACAGAGCATAACCGGCCAAGTTATACCTAGATTCTAGTACTCGGGCTGTCTGTTCCAGAGCTCGACAGCTGAATTGGTTGTTGCGCGTCGTCATCCGAGCGAATGCTGCCATCAGGCTCGCCCGCTCCGATTTTACATGCGTCGCGACATAAGCGGATTAAACAAAGCGTTACTCGATTCGCGAGGTGCACAAAAGCGCGCGGATTTTCGTTCCGTGAGCAACAAGTACATCACGCCTGTCATGCTATTCGCATCTTCCGTTCGTGTCGTGGGATTCGGGACATGGAAGCTTTTCTAATTCCGCGTCGATATTCGGAACGCGAAAGAGGGAAGGTGAAAGGTCAGAGTTGAGCAACTTTTATTCAAATTGAATGAAAAATAAATCTTGGAAATTTTAGTCGTGCATTACGGGGAAATTTTTATTCTTATTCGTGTCATAGATTATATAAATGTAATTTTAGTCATTAATATTATTTGCATTCGTTGCACGTGTTACTTGTTCATACATTGAAAATATTAATAAATCGACACAATGTGTTCGGTTATTAACACAGGATATTCATTATTTTGACTTAAATTTGATTTATAATAGTAACATTTGATATTTATTAAATTGACATATTTATGTCAAATTAGCACAAAGAAATTTTAACATTTGAATGTAAAATTTTTAATTGTGTAGTAAAGAAATACATTCCTTTCTCCTCGTTCTAATCATAAATGCACGCAGAAAATGTTCATTGCCTTAAAAAATTTACGTATATTTGAAAAGTTATTCATGAATGACATTTATTTTATTCACGAGAAAAATTTATTCTGCCAAATTTATTCATACCTTCATTTTAATCAAGATTCATTCGAATAATGCCACACATTCTGGACGGAAACGCATCGTTCTTCCGGAAATGTGATCTTCCCGAACGATATCCGATCGTTCTATATTAAACATCGTTGCGCATGTGAGAGAGAGAGAGAGAGAGAGAGAGAGAGAGTTCCGTCGTTAAGCGACCATCAGGGACTTTTTATGGAAATGTAATGACGGAAAACAGGGACTAGAACATTGCAGGTCCGATCGATTGATCATCTAGGTCGACCCTTTGTGCGCGATAACACTCATGGAGGAGATAGAGAGCCCAAAGGGCTACATTTCCCGTCTTTTTGCATGCTCTTCGGCTTGACGTTTGAATGATATTTCCTTATTGACATATACGCACCAACGCGTTGAACTGTTTTTAACCCATTCACGCTCAGAAATTTGCGTTTTGCCCGTCATCTATGCAACGCATAAAAACAACGCATCAGAATATAAACGGATTAAATTTATGTTCATTCTTTGCAATTCGACAGTCGATTTCGATTTTGACTTAGAAAGCAACTAATATTGAGAAGAAGTAAATAGCACCTATAAAAATAAAATAATATAATATTCTTGGTCTTTTATTTTCTTTTACATATATCTTTTTGATTTTATCTTTTACTAATCTTTTACACGTGTTATATTTTTTTATTTTGCTATTTTTAATTAATTCTTTTATATGTGATATTTTTTATTCATATTCTGGCGATCGTTGCCATTGGGGGCTTAACGATATATCATACAAAAGCAACTTATATTAATCCATTTATGCAGAAATTTGTATTTCGTCGCAAGTTTCGCGTTGCGTAAACGTAACAGTGAGCATGAATGGCTTAATAATCGAGGCGTCGAGAAAGCTCTGTGGATTTGAGCCTGCTTACGTAACAAAATTGATCGTGAATTAATGCATGATGAGCTTTTAATGCGCAGTTGGTGTGCGACGCGAAGTAAAATTCGTTGATTCAAAAGCGATCGCGTAAGCGAGCGGAAAGTGGCCCGTTCCGCAAGCGTGCGCTTGTCAAGTTACTCAATTAGAATCAATGCATCGGTGGCTGTCGATATTTTCGCGTATTAGCCGTTTACAATAATGCCCGATGGGTAACGATAAACGTCAGCGGGAAAATATTTTCTTTTCCGCGCGATATTCGGTCGGTAGCTTATGTTGAACATTACGTTGCACGGCGACGGCGGTTCATATTTTACAGATATACGAATTTTTAAATGGAGAGGAAACGAAACCCACAAACGTTACCAGCGATATTCTGTACCGGAGTGATCGTACTTTAAAAATGCAAAACGGATTACATGACGGCGCCGAGCGGAGCTGAAAGGTTAACATTACAATCGCGCCGTAGCGGACAGACGTCTGATCGACAGGCTATGTCAATAACACCGTTCGACAAAATTGGACTTCTTGAAAAAATAATGAAGAACTCGCGGTTTCCAACGATCGAAAGTTAGCGTATGCTAATCGATCAAACGAAACTTTCTTTTACAAAAGTTACTTATCACGAAAATAATAACATATGAGCTGAGTGTTAATTAAGTGACATTGAGACCTTAATTAAAACTCTGGCAGAAGAAAAAGTAGCGGATTGCGTGCAGCTCGCGAGCTGCGGGTTGGTCAGATCTGTTCTATTAATGGTGATATTTCGATAATTAAGTTTTAGACGTGCACACTCACCTTGTCGCCTTGCTGTAAGCCGGCTTTCTCTGCGGGGCCGCCCGGCACGGTCCAAACGATACACGCGAAGGTGCGTCCGTCCGATCCAGTCTTACCACCCACCACCCTCATGCCGAATCCGCGCGCTGTAACAAAGGAGAGCCACGATGAATGAAATATGTACGCGGCGAGAGAGATCGCGATACAGCACGTCGCAATTTTCGTGGATATTTTCGTGGGTAGAAATTACGTCGCAGAACGAAAGGGCCGTGCACGTGTCGTTTTGAAAGGGACGCAGTCACATTTCGCAGCGAACGTAACCCCCCACGCATTTTCCTTCCGCAACGTGGATTTATTGTACGCGTACGCGAGGGAGAGCTGAAAGTCGGGGCGCGGACTCTAGGAAAATAATTAACGCCCACGCTCGTGCTGTAAATGCAAGCGGCAATTGCGCCGATTGTTAAGGTAACAATATCGCGTTGTTAGTGAACGTAACACGCGAGCGCGGCTGAAGTTTGTAATTTACCGTTATCCGATTGTCGATGTTCCTTTCTCGTCACGATCCAGCAAAACGCAACATTCGGAAAACGATCGATTTCAGGAGATGCCGAAGTGTATAAGATCATCTGTATTGTTTAATGTATCGTTAAATCTCTATGGATAGTTTTTCGCGCTCAATTTTTCTAGATATATCCATAGATGGATCTAGAAGTTCTTTTTCCGAAACGAATGTGATTTCCGACGTTAATTCGTGCAATCTTGTCCGAGTGCTACGAGTAAAGAATATAACGTTGTTTTCGTGTGAATGCATTACAAGCGCAAGGACGATTGGTAAAATTAACCAACTTTTACCCCCGGAATCGCAAGTAAAAACGGTATATTTTTTGGACTTTAATTTTTGGACTACTGAATCTGATTCTGACCTTTAAACAATTTTAATTTTTATGTATTTCAACATTTTTACACATCGCTTTTACTCGCCACTCCAGGGGCCAAAATCGGCCTTCATCATTTTACCCATCATTCTTTAGAAACAAATAAATTTAGAATCTGTAATTTTTAGTTACTTCATCCGACGAGAGCATGTTTCCGCGTGTTTGCACCTTAAATCCAGCCACGTTGACGGCGGAATTACTCAATGTCGCGTTCAGCGATTAAACGACGGAAATATGGCGTAACCAATCCAACCCTGAGCTATCGGTTCTAAGAATTTTGCAACATCTGGATGAATTCTCGTGCCATTAGCCGTGCGAATTCGATGAATATCCCCGTTATTGCCGGGTATGTCCATCGATCCTTTGCAGATTCCACCGGGTTCTAATGGACGAGAACTCGCGTGACGTGTCTGCGCGAAAGCCTTGGGAATTACTTGGCGAAGAGGGGACGAGATCTCGTTTTACCCTTCGTCCGATCTTACGCGTCTCGTGCGCGAATGTGAATCTATTTATTCGCGAATAAATCTGCATATTATACTTGCGTTTCTAACGCGTTCGAGTTGATCGAGAGATTGATAGAAATTATTAATGTCGGAAAAGATGTCACGTGATCGAGAAATCTGCTAGCGAAAACGTGCAGGAAAGTTTACTCGTTCCGCGCTATTTGCGCGAACAACGCGACTTCGTCCAAGTTTTAACGAGCCGAAGGGATACAACGGCGCCGGCGGGGTAAAACGGAGAGATTTGCCGATAATGGTGCATAACGTTCGTAATTCCGTAGACTCCCCATCGTGGACGAGGATAAAAAATTGCCAGGTTCGACTCCCCGCAGTTTCACGAGTATCCAGTACGCCATTCTCCCTATTTTCTCACCGAAAAGACCATTTTACGCGCGACTTTAAGGCAATTCGCCGTTAGCAATTATTCCTTATGGACGAACTCTCCGGAATAAAAAAACTATATATGTGGGAAGTCAATTTTCTTTTGTTTTGGGAAAATATTTTACAAATTATATTCTCTCATTTCGGGCACAGAGTTGAATTATTTCGGGCAATAATTACTTAAGAATAAGTCATTTGATTATTTAGAATTATAATTTAGAAAGATAATTATTTAGAATAAAGTATTAAATTATATCTGAAGAATTGTCAGTCTTATTTCAAAAAAAGGATAGTCAACAGAAGAGCTTTAATTAGCTATGCCATTAAAAGTGTAATATCAGTACGAGGTAATCGCGAAATACGACGTTGTATAATTGTTGTTTCTAAGCTACATTAATGGAAACGTATTACGGAGGAAGTATTTAAGGTTGGAAGCAAATTTCAATGAAAGTAGAATGAATGCAAGCACCCTGATCCATCTCGCGCATTTCGTTGTACTTTAGCGAGCGAGAGTAACGTCTCTCTCGACGATCTTCGCGCTCATCTTATCTCGGGGTCGTGTCACGGAACGACGTGGGCGTAACGTAAAGGTCGCAGTAAGAGGTGCGATCGAAAGGGCAACGGATGGTCGAGGGAAATATCAGAGTTATAGTTTGGCGTACTACCGACAAGCGGCGTGATGGACTCGAGATGTAATCTACACATCTTTGCTTTGAAAATCGATTTTTTGCTTACTTATTATTTATCATACTTATATCAGAATAAAAATGTGCATCTTTGAAGAATCATCTTGAATAGATTTGGCTATTTTTTAAACTAATTATGAAAGCGTAGACTTCTCCGGCTCTTTTAAGGAGAGAGATTCGAAAACTCATCGCTATGTACGAGCCTCCCCTTTCGCATCGTTTCTCGTGCTTTGCATATCGCGTGGCCGCGTCGTAGTCAACATCTTCGCGTTCGACGCTCCCGGGCGTTCGTGGTCAGCCGCATGCGCCGTCGGTAATAGTATTGTCTTCGTATTAGCATGAGAAATCCGAAACGCGCGAGGAGGACCACTTAATTAAGTGTTATCGTACTAGTCTCGCGTAATTTCGTTCTGATGTGTACGAATTAATCTGGCTGTTGCGTCTAATCCTGCCTTTCGCTGCCCGTTCGCATGTTAAGAGGCGGACGATTCACGACGGATGTCTGTCGTTAAACGTCAACTATTGTGAGCGGCTCGCCGAAATCTTCGGACCAATAGCGTGACGATGAAATGAGGGAATGTTTCAGAAATAATAAAAGTCCGCGTATTAAAACAAAGAACTGGGAAATTTAGAAAGTCGGAGCCAAAACGCGAGTGCGCAAAAATTCAATAGCTATCTAACCATGATTCGATTTAATTCAAAACATCGAACGGAAAAAGTTGAAAAATTTGGAGCAATTTGTGAGGCTATTTTTGCCGTGTTCGTGCGAAAATCTCATAAAACACCAAACCATCGCGTCCTCAGCAATAGCTTGGAAGGATCTCGTGCTCTAGATTAATCGAGTTAAAAACTCACCTCGGCGTTTCGTGGCCGTCAGCCAACCAGAACTTTGATGCAATTTCGACAGTCTAACTTATTAAATATCAATCCTATCGAGCCGAACTGTCGTCCATTTCGGAACGTTCCATTCAGTCGGTCGATGTGCAGCCGCGTTTACACAAACGCAACGTTAACGAGATACAACCGTGGATGCGTCATGCCGTTTAATTGATCAACGTCATCGAGCGCATCGGGATTATCTGCTGATACTCTGACGAACTGATCAAGGAGTATCTCGTTTGCGTCGTAATGTCAAGGCCGGCTCGAGAATAATCCGATCCGATTAGAGGTTTCGCTCGCGTGTCGTGATAATTATCAATAATTATCGACTGTGATTAGTTATTATTTGCGAGCGCACGAACTTTGCTTGTCGTCTCCCTTTATCATCACGGGATTGTTTAGTTAGCTAACATTCGTATGTTTTTCATTATGTCGATGATTGACGATGTTTGATAGTCCACGAAAAATGCGTTTCTTAAAATTATAATCAAGTATTTTTATTGATTACAATTTTTTTTTACACTCTTACAAGTCTAATTAGAAATGTAATGAGAAGATATTTAAATATATCTCGAAGTTTCTTTTATAAAAATTCTCGCGATTACGCGTAAAGAAGATATCGCCGAACGCGCTTTCGCTATGGTCTGCGAAACGAAAAGGAATACAATAAACGTTCGAGAACGACATAGCTAATTAAAGCTCGCACCAGTGCTCAACAATTTGCAAGAAGCGCGGTCTAATTACGAGCAGCACGCAGGTTACATAATTATAGGCTACGTGCCGCTCATTTACACGTGTTGCTCCACGTTCGCGATAACAAGGTTAATTCAGAATTGTATTACCGCCGTCGAACTGTTCCTACACGTATAAAATTAATAAGTTACAATTAAATCATAATCAGTTTTTCCGTTCGGTTAGCATCAACACCGCTGCAAACTGCAACGTACGACATAATACGCTTTGCATTACCTTTTAAATTATATAATTACACAGAAATAAAGATGATTGTATTTAACATGATACGTGCTTTCTCACACAAATATATTAATTTTCCAAATACTCGTCGCAAATTCTTCGCAAATTTTAATCCCGTAAAACATTCGTCAGTAGAATCTACTATAATTTATTTTCGAAAAGATCGGATTGTTGACCGCCGCGTTATTGAACGCGAATTGTAATTAACTTACACGGGGCAAGGCCTGAGCATCTCGCTGGTTAGTGAGGTTGAAAAAGAAGCGTGGGATGGGCACAAAATAATTCCAGGCGGGATCAGCGATAATGGAAAATGCGTCTGCTCGCGGCCACAATGGCGTACCTGTTGCGGACAGTTCAGAGGCGCAACCCCTCTCTGCGGAACCCGACAATTCTCTCGTTTCTTCTACCCTCTCTTTATCCCAGTCATTTAGCGTCTTGCCAACTTCGTGAAATTTATGAATATTCGCTATTCCAAAGCAGTTTCGTGGGACTTGCGGAAACTATCGTGCGGAAGTACGATATTGCATTTCTTTGTTCAAACTTCACAGGGGTTTTAAATTGTGTCGTCGAAAGTATGTTACAGGCCATTTCGAATACTTTAAGTTGAAACAACATATAAATAAATATAGAACAAAATGTCAAATAATTAATATTTTCAGCGTGTTAAAAAATATCACACGAAAATGTTATTTTAATACAAAATTTCGAGTGGACATCCTGACACATACGAAGAATGTTAAAATTAACATTTTATTTTTTACTGTGTGGAAATATATATCTCTTTATGAAA